CGACTCTGTGCGACCCCATAGACGGCAGCCCACCAGGCTCCTCCGTCCCTGGGATTCTCCAGGCAAGAACACTGGAGTGGGTTGCCATTTCCTTCTCCAATGCATGCATGCATGCTAAGTCACTTCAGTTGTGTCCTACTCTTTGTGACGCTATGGACAGCAGCCCACCAGATTCCTCTGTCCATGGGATTCTCTAGGCAAGAATACTGGAGTGGGTTGCTATTTCTTTCTCCCACATTTGTTCTCTATCCAGTATGGAGAAGCTATCGTGCAGAATCTAATCTGCTAAAGTAAAAGTAGTCATAGGCAGCCTAGCAACTGTAGGCCTTGTGAATGGAAAGAACATTTTTCCATAATAAACTTACAATAAAATGTTGTTAGAATTTGTCAAGCCTTCTTGCAACAATATGACTAAGATTTGTATAACAAAGGAAGGAATTAAGTGGCATTATTTTTAACCAAGACTATCTTATTGCCCTGTTTTCTTGGACCAGATGTTGCAAGTCCAGTTTGGCTGCCTCTCGTGCAGAGTGGGGCCACCTTGCTGATTTGTCCTTCACTAAACTGGCCAATGCCACCCCAAGGTCGTTTACATTTTAAACTCCAAGTAATAGCTTTATTGGGCTTCCCTGCTGGCTCTGACAGTAAAGAATCTGCCTTCGATGCAGGAGACCTGGGTTTGATCCCCTGGTTGGGAAAGTCTCTGGAAGAGGGCATGGCAACCCTCTCTAGTATTCTTGCCTGGGAAACCCCACGGGCAGAGGAACCTGGTGGGCTACAGTCCACGGGGTTGCAAAGAGTCAGACACGACTGAGCAACTAACACTTTCACAGTAGCTTTATTACATAGGATCTTGTCATATTTTGTTCAAAGGAAGAACCAGTCTTCTGGGCAGAGCCAAAGACACAGCTGCAGTTAACGCTTATAGTTAACCAAGCACTATATTCTATTTCTATAGATGCAATTTTCTTTTACATATTTTTTCATATTTGCCCTTGATACCATGAAGATGAATGTTTCATTTAAGGTAATAAAAATACACTGAATTGAAATACATTTGTCTTAGCCTTCTTGAGGGAATTTTCACATACAATTTTTTTTTAATTCTAAATGTTACCTGAAGTTGATTAAAAAAGGCACCTATTTGCTGTTACCTTGTCTTGCTTTGTCAGGTAGGTGGTGCTGCTGAGGCTACTCTAGCCTCTACCCGAGGAAACTCTTTTCTAAAAAACGATTTCTTAGTCACAGCTTTGTTATTTATAATGAGAAAATTAACAGCACATCAGTATACATTATGAACACCACCAGATCAAAATGCCAAATTGATTCTTCCTGTTTGCAAATCTCAGCTATGCAAAGAATCACTAACCAGAATTAGTCAGCATCAATTTCCCCTCTACCTCTCGTTGCCAGTGTAGCTTATCTTCCGAAGACATCCAGCCAGCTTTTGTGCATGCCAGAACAGTGGTAGCAGGCTGTGAAGTGAAATCAGCAAGACGTATTGACACACGAAATTAGCTGTCAGCTACCATGGGTCAGAACCCACAGCCTTCTGTGTCCCATTGCGATGAACATCTTGAGCCGCTCTCGTACCCCACAGGTCATCCCCTTTTCCTGTTTCCTCTCCTAGCACTCCAGCTCGCGCCTGAATTACCAAAGCAGCGTCCAGGGATCCTCTCAGTCCCAGAGCACACTAGGCTACTCCTCCTCGTCTCAGCAGAGCGCACAGTACCACCCGTCTCACCAGGCCCACCGCTACTGACCGGCCGCAGCCCAGAGCACAGACTCCAGCAATATGACATCTGCATTGAAGGGAACCAAAAATGCAAGCTCTGATGCTGCCATCCACTTAGGAGGAAGACTATTTACGGAGCATTTTGCAAGACTGACTGATGTCTCTTCTTTGGTGACTTAAAGAAGATTTTTGTGAAGTTTCCCCAACAGCCTTTCCCTGCATGTGTTCCATTGTGACTTCTCTGATAAAGCGTCTGATCTAAACCCAGCACTTACCTTCTGTAACCTTCAGCATCTTTGGGAAGGACTTCCTGGTGCACCTTTCTCATGCTGTAGCAATCGCTATGATTTATCTTTTCAAAGCTCTTTTATTAGGATTTTAATGTCTTAGAAACAAGACTCCAGTGGTGTATAGTTTTATACTTCATGAACTGATCTAGCAACACAGGTAAATATGCACCTTTTAAAGCACTACGTGGTTTTCACAAAATATAACTCTTTTGTTCATGGAAGTCTTAAATAGGAACTGTTACTGTCCCAAAGTACCTTACTATTACATTTTTATTTATCTAGTTTCAGGGAAGGTCTAATAAAAAGACAAGTGGTGGGACAGTGGGAACCTGCAACCAAAAACAGCCTAGATCTTCGCAGTTACTATGCTTTATGCTATGGAGAACTAAAACATGTGGTAATTTTTATATAATCATGCATATGGAACTTAGTTCCCAGAATCATCTTATTCTGAATAGTATTCAGTAATTAAGAATGATAATTTTAAACTTCATGTAGCTTAAGTCTACTTTAAAAAAGGGTTTCAAGAGCTTTGATGAAATACAGTCCTCTGGTGACCCACACCAGAAAACTGAAGAGAGTATTAACTGCACTAGGATTTCTTTAAGAGTGATGTTGATCAAAGGATGTGTTGCTTCCCTTTGAAGGAAAAGCTTTTCTTGTGTATTGTACATACAGTTGGCTTCTCTAAAGAACTGTTGGTTTCTTCACATCTGGGTCAGCTTGAGTAACTTTCTTACATAATCAAGGGTACTCAAATAGAAGCCTGCAAATTAATCTGCTTTTAAAACAAAAAGCAGTGTTCTCCATTCGTATTTGTGTTAGACATAGAATGACTATTTTTAAAGCATGTTAAAAGTTTAGGTTTTGTTCATGTTTCAAGTATGTATGATGTATGCATAATTTTGCTGTTATTACTGAAACTTAATTCTATCAAGAGTCTTTTCATTGCACTGAATGCTTTCTTTTGCCCCTAGGAGAAAACTTAATAATTGTGCCTAAACTATGGGCAGATAGTGTACAACTATATTAGCTAAGTACATATTTGCATTTCTCTGATCTATGAATGACAGGCTGAGTTTGCCCTTAGCCAGTGAGTTCTTTCTTAGCCAGCATAAAGGAAGCTCCCCAGAGTCCCACATAAATGTAAAGACTTAAGAGCTTCCATCGTAATGTAAGGGGCAAGAAATTTGTGTTCTTCTAAATGCTACTAGCAGCACCAGCCTTGTTTTAATGTTTTCTTGAGCTAGAAGAAATAGCGGATCGTTGTTATATGCAAGTTATATGCATTTTTCACTCTTCCTTGTGAACTTATCTACCTGGTTATCTCCTCTGGGTCCATACACAAGTGAAATAAGATTTTAGACAGAAGCCAGTATACATTTTGCACTATTGATGTGATACTGTAGCCAGCAGGACCTTCCTGATCTCAGCATAATAATGCTCATTAATAACAAAGACTGTCTAGGGGCACTGATGAACACTGAGGATGAAACAATTGACATGCTCCTTTGGAAGGAATTTCTGATTGTCTCCAGGGTAATTTACTGCTTCCATTGTTAAAAATGAGAAACTAGTATCCCTCTGCATAATGTAGCTACCTGTGTGAAGTTCTGTCCTGGGCCCTGAAGCCTCAGTGTCATCAGATCCTCACTGTACCCTCCCCCTGTGCCCAGCATCATGCTGGGGGAGATAGGAAGGGCAAGACATACTTCCTGTCCTTGAAGAGCTCATGATTGAGTCCATGACAGGAAGCTTTGCTGGGATGACAGGCTTGTAAATGAAACCATCTTAGAACATGAAGATCTCTTCGTCTACTTCTAAACCCTCTTGAAGAGAGTTATTATCCCAAATTTTGCCCTATAATAAACAAGTATCATGGAGAGGTTTCTATGTTTATCTACCTTCAAGAAAGCCAACAATTAAGTATCACCACAGGCATTAATATATATTTGAAATGTTTACAGCAGCCTTTCAACAACAATTGGGTGGCCCTTGTAGGCAGAACATACTCAACTAAGAGTTTGTAGGAAATTACAGTGAAAAGAGAAGCTCTGTTCCTGCCCTTGAGAGGGGTGTACATTTAGTAAAAGACAAACCCAAATATGTGCATGAATCATATATCATGCCCTTTAATACACTTTGAATAAATTCTTGTGATGTGTGCTTACAGGATCACAGGACTACCCTGCTTTCTTTGCATGTAGTGAATTTCAGTGGCAGAACTAATACAGAAGCTGGTGGGGATTTTACAGTTGTTTCCAGTGTTCTTCACACGGGCTGTAGCCAGATATGCCCATTACACACGTGACTGTTTCTGGTCATTGCGCTGGTACTGGCCCTTTCCTCCTGTGGTTTTGCCTCAGAGTTGGTGATGCCCACTGGTGTCCATTACCCTTGGAAATAATTTTGGTTCACAGTTTCCTTTTCCTTGTAAAGGAGAACAAAGCCTTTAACATACTCATGGGCCCTAAAACTGTGGGCCCTTGAAGGAAACCTGTGAAGATTTTTGAGGTTAAAATTTACTTTTGTGTTCCCCAAATAACCACATTCCTCTTTAAAAATTTATCACAGTCGGTGTCCCCTGAGAATGCAGGGTGGACATCCAAACCAGGGGAAGTTACCGAAAGGAAGGGAGGAATCAAAGCAAAGGCTTTCTGCATTTCATATTACAAATCAGTTTTTGAGTTAGCTTTTGGTAAGGTGTGTATTTAGGATAAAGTATTCTAGAGTTTCAGGACAGCTGAGCTCACAGGTAAGGCAGCCTGGCGGCAGGACTGACACTATGAGGCTGAAACAATCCTTATGATGAAGTAGATCATGCAGGAACATACAAAAACCAAGGACATGTATATTTTTATATCTGTGTGGTTTTAAAACTTTAGTACTTAGAATTTTGGCCTTCTGCACTACTCTTTTGCTCTTGTAAACACAATTTACATTTAAGAATGGAAAGGGATGACATTTACTTACGTGTTCACTGCCTCATTCCTGGTGAAGCAACTGCTACTTGTATGCCTCTATAATGATGCTGTTTTCTCTGCTGAAGATAAGAGAAAAAAATAGTTGGACAATAAGCCTTGCAGCTTAATCTGTTTGGAGTACTTGTATGTGACAAACTGTACAATGAAGGAATATTCTATGAAAGTTACAAATCCTGACCTCTGTAATGTTATCTTTCTGGGGAATGGAGAAAGGCAGTGAAACGGCAGACTAAAGGAAGCTTGAAGGATTCAAGTATAAATAATATTTTATATAAAACATAGCTGTTTAGGTTTCCTTAATCTTCAAGAATAGTCACAAATATCATAAGGCAAAGTTCATTGTTTTAGGGTTTTTTAAAAATGTGTTGTACCTAAGGCCATACTTACTCTTCTATGCTATCACTGCGAAGGAGTGATATGTATGTATTATATGAAAAAAAATCCTTAATGCACTGTTATCTCCTAAATATTTAGTAAATTAATACTATTTAATTTTTTTAAAAATTTGTCTGTGTAGACACTAAAAGTATTACACAAAATCTGGACTGAAGATGTCCTTTTTAACAACAATTTAAAGTACTTTTTATATATGTTATGTAGTATATCCTCTCTAAACTGCCTAGTTTGTATTTCCCATAATTCCTCTATGTGAAGTGTATCTGTTCTTGTCTCTCTTTTCAGCCATTTTTCTGCACGCATCCCTGTTTGTACGACTTTAGACATGACTGTGTATGCTTTGCACACACACTGTGAGGTGTGCGCTAAGAACCGGCCACCCCCCAGTGAGGCCCGCTGCCCCCAGAGGGGACTGCTCCCCGGGGTGCAGGACTTGCCGCTTTGGAGCCAAGTGTTTCTCGCTTTTGAGTTTTCCTGACATCCTTCCTGAAATGACTGTTAGAAATGAATTACATTGCATTTATTTTATATTCTTGGTTGTAATAAAATTTAATTGACTTTGTGTCAGTGTGGATTTTTTAAGTGTAGGAAAAACTCTTGTTACAACAAGTTTTAGCGTTAAAATCTGATGTGTGTGCCTCGAAGCTTTTCAGATTCCACTTGTCCTGCAGAGATGCAGAGTCTCCCTGTGAGCTGCAACATGTTATCTTATTTAGGATGCTTATGATGTCACAAAACCAAAGAGGCAAGGCTTGCAAAAAATACCTCAGAAGCAAAATGACAGTTTTTTAAACATCTCTAGGGGAGATAATCTTTTTTTAAAAAAATGAAATTTAGAAAGATGTTTTAGAAAAAGCAAATAGGCAGCATTTTGTGGAAAGAGTGGCCCTGGGAGTTTCTTTTACGAGGACATTAACTTGTGCCTGGCTGCCCCCTCCTACAATTTACTTGATGAATTGTCTATGGTTATTCCAATGGTTAAAGGCATCGTGGCGTGAACTGAAGAATGTTTAAGTGACATAAGCATTCAACATAAAACTTGAACTCTGGGACTTCCCTGGTGGTCCAATGGATAGATCCCACACGTCACAACTAAGCCTGTGAACCACAACAGAGATCCACTGCAGTTGAAATAATAAATTTTTTTAAAAAACTTCAACTCTATTTAAAATAGATATTGCTTCACTATTTGACACAGCCTCTATATTTAACACTGTGACATTCACAGGGTAGAGCTTCTCTTGGGGAACTGTTCTCTGACCACAGCTGCCTTTCTAACCAGCCACCTGGGTAAGAGAAAGTGGATGACTGCACAAACCCCTTATCACTCCTGGGAAAACAGCCGGAAAGTATCAGGCTATCTCCCAAGCCAACTGTAAGTCCTTTGTGGACAAGGTCTGGGTTTTATTCTTTCACTCCCAGCACCTGGCATGATACCCAACACAGCAGATAATACGGTGAGTCATTAGCATCAGTTTTGTACGTTGACATATGATTCCTTGATATGCCATATTTGTGTATGGACAGGGAGATGAACCTATATATTTTTGTTGTGTGAATAAGGAAAAGGCATTTCCTTTTTATTTATTTGTTGTTGAGGTATAGTTGAAATACAATATTATATAAGTTTCAGGTGTACCGCACACAGCGAATCATAATTTTTAAAGGTTATACTCCATTTATAGTTATTATAGTGACTATTATTTCCTGAGTTATACAGTATATCCTTGTAGCTTGTTTATTTTATACAGAGCAGTTTGTACCTCTTAGTCCCCTACTCCTATCATGCCCTTCTCCCCGTCCCTCTCCTTTCCCCACTGTTAACCACTAGTTCTCTCTATCTGTGAGTCAGTTTCTTTTTTTAAATATTCACTAGGTTTTGTATTTTTTAGAGTCCACAGATAAGTGATATCATACAGTTTCTCTATCTCATTAAGCATTGTTGTTCAGTTGCTAAATCATGTCCTGTTTGCCACCCCATGAACTGCAGCATGACAGACTTCCCTTTTCTTCACTATCTCCCAGAGTTTGCTCAACATTATGTCCACTGAATTGGTGATGCCATCCAGCCGTCTCATCCTCTTGCCCCCTTCTCCTTTTGCCTTCAGTCATTAAGCATAATGTCCTCCAAGTCCATCCATGTTGCAGATGGCAAAATGTCATTCTTTTTTATGGTTGAGTACTATCATTATATATATAATACATAATGGGATATATATATTTTATATATATATATATATATATCATACCATCTTTATTCCTCTGTTGATGGACACTTATGTTGCTTCCATATCTCAGCAATTTTAAGTAATGCTGCTCTGAACATTGGGGTGCATGTATCTTTTTGAATTAGCATTTTATCTGGATAGATACCCAGGAGTGGAGCTGCTGGATCATATGGTAGTTCTATTTTTTAGTTTTTTAAGGAAACTCCATACTTTTTTCACAGTGGCTGCACCAATTTCCATTCCCACCAACAGTGTACAGGGTTCCCTTGGGGCATTATTTTCTTAAAATAGGTTCATATCTTATATTTTTGGCTCCAAAGTCATAATATCACTCTAGAGGAACAAATAGTTCAAACAGCATTTGAATAAAAGATTACGCCAAGTTAGCCATCTTCTTTAGAAGCCATCTTTCTTCCTTTGGTTCTTCAAGAGGAGGGCATCTATCTTAAAGCCTCACATAGCATTTACCTAGCAGGTAGTAGAAAGCCAGCTTGGACTAGCAACACACAAACAAAATAGGAACATTTGTTCATTTGATCTAAATGAGAGAATAGAACATAGGGGAAAGAAATGAAAATATTGGCCTAAAACATTAATATATATTTAGCACATTCCTTCTGATTTTTCACACTTTCTGCTCTTCAGACTTACAGAATTTTTTTCACATAAAGACGCTATTAAGGACTGGATGTTTGTGTCCTCCCCTGGTTCTTATGTTGAAGACCTTATCCCCAGTGTGGCAGTATTGGAGATGGTGTGTTTGTGGACGTAACCAAGGTTAAATGAGGTCATACGGGTGGGCCCTGATCCAATAACATCCGTGTCCCGGTAAGGAGAGGTGCTAGAGCGCACGTGCAGACTCTCCCTTCTGTCCCCCGCTCCCTGCTGCCTCCTCTTTATCCTCCTTCTTTTTCTTCCCTCCTTTCTCTCTCTCCCCCACAACCCCTCTTCCCACCATGTGAGGACACAGCAAGAAGGCCATCATCTGCAAGCCAGGAAGGAGTGTTTACAGAAAACTTGACTCTGCCAGACTGATCTTGGACTTCACAGCCTGTAGGACTCTGAGAAAATAAATTTCTGTGATTTAAGCCACCCAGTCTATGGTATTTTGTTACAGAAACCTGAGCAAACTAATACATACTTTGGACCAAGAAGTGGGCTGTGGCAGTAACAAACACCTAAAAATATAGAAGTGGCTTCGGAACTGGGTAGTGAGTAGAGGCTGGAAGATGTGTGTGCTAGAAACATAAAAGGTTAAGGGCAATTCTAGTGAGGGCTCAGAAGGAAAAGAGAGCTGAGGGAAAGCTTCCATCTTCTTAGAATAAAGAGTGTAAGTAATCATGAACAGAATTCTGGTAGGAATATGAACATTAAAGACCATTCTGGTGAGTTCTCAGACGGAAATGAGAAACAGGAGAACGGAAATTGGATTGCAGCAGCAGTCCTTGTTGTTGCGTGGTGGTGACTTGTTTGCTTGTTGTGCTGTGTTTTTTATGGGCAGCAGTTTTTTGGTGTTGTGTTGTTGTTCTTGGATGTTTTTTGTTGTGGTGGTGGGGATGGTGTGGTTGGTTGGTCCACCCCGCGGGTATTGTGGTAGGAGTACTGCTGAGGAGGAAGACACACTTTAAGCATTTTAGACTTTTGCCTTCCTCAGGTCTTGTCCTGCATTCATTCTCTTGTATGCATTGGTTGGTCCTGGGAGTCCCTCTTTGAAAGGTCTGGTCCTTCAAGAAAATGCAAACATGTAACAAGCTTTTCTTTTGGTTGTAAGATCAACCTAAATTAATTGAAACCTACAGACCTTAAATTATAAACAAGATGTTCAAGATTTGACTGAATTCAGCTGCAGGTGCCATATTTTAGTTGTAAATGTATGATTAAATATCTATTGGCATAACTCATAAGCAGCAGTATGAAGACAACTATACAGTTCAAAGGACTTTGAAAACTTGCCAGGTACATGTGTGTATGCGCAGTTGTGTCCAACTCTTTGCAACCCCATGGACTGTAGCCTGCCAGGCTCCTCTGTCCATGGAATTTTCCCAGTAAGAATATAGGGTGGGTTGCCTTTTCCTACTCCAGGGGCTCTTCCCAACCCAGGGATCAAACCTGTGTCTCCTGCACTGGCAGGCAGATTCTTAGCACTGAGCTACCTGGGAAGCCCATATATCCTTATAACAAAGCCCAAATCAAGAAACAGGACAAATTCATCACTCCACAAAATTCCCTCATTCTCCTTTCTAGTTAATACCCCCACACTCACAAAGGCAACCACTGTTCTGTTTTCTATCACCAAATATTAGTTTTGTCCTTTTAGAATTTCATTTAAATAGAATCATGCAGTTTGTACTTTTTTGTATCTGGATTCTTTGGCACAACATAATGTTTTAAGAGTCATCCATATTGGATATATCAGTTTGTTTCTTTTTATTTCT